GCCCAACTTGGTGTCGTCTGCAAACTTACTGAGGGTGCACTCGATCCCCTCATCCAGATCATTGATAAAGATGTTAAACAGAACTGGTCTGAGTACTGAGCCCCGGGGAACACCACTTGTGACCGGTCACCGACTGGATTTAACTCCCTTCACCACAACTCTTTGGGCCCAGCCAGCCAACCAGTTTTTTACCTGGCAAAGAGTGGACCCGTCCAAGCCATGAGCAGCCAGCTTCTCTAGGAGAATGCTGTGGGAAACAGTGCCAACGGCTTTACAAAATACGGGGTAAACAACATCCACAGCCTTGCCCTCATCCACTAAGCAGGTCACCTTGTCATAGGAGATCAGGTTAGTCAAACAGGACCTGCCTTTCATAAACCCATGCTGACTGGGCCTGATCACCTGGTTGTCCTGTACGTGCTGCGTGATGGCACTCCAGATGATCTGCTCCATAACCTTCCCTGGCACCACGGTCAGGCTGACAGGCCTGTAGTTCCCTGGATCCTCCTTCCAGCCCTTCTTGTAGATGGGTGTCACATTTGCTAATGTTTAGTCAATTCCCTGGTTAGCCAGGACTGCTGATAAAGGATTGAAAGTGGCTTGGTGAACACTTCTGCCAGCTCCCTTGGTACCCTTGGGTGGATCCCATCCGGCCCCATAGACTTGTGTGTGTCTAAGTGGTGTAGCAGGTTGCTAATGATTTCCCCTTGGATTATGGGGGGAAAATCTCAGGGGGCTGGGTACCCAGAGAACAACTGGTCTTACTATTAAAGACTGAGGCAAAGAAGGCATTAAGTACCTCAGCCTTTTCATATGTTGCCATGATGAACATTTCATCACTGTATAGCTGAAGAGCCTGTTTCACAATCTCTGTATTGCAATTTTATGCCACTGTGAAACTCTACTAACAGTAAAGCTGTCATAGATCAGGCTGGTTTTATATCGCGTACTAAAACAATTTCTGTAAATTGTAGCAAGGTTTCATTCTTTAGTGTTTAACAGACCTGTCAAATCAGGGGGTATGATGCTTCAGAGTCTGAGGAGCAATTGCCAAGAGATAAAGTATTGATCATGACAGTTATTGATGTCACTGCTATTAAGAAGTTCAGTTACCAAAAAACGGATTTCAATCTACAGATGGCTTAGCGCACTCATCAGCTGATGAAGATGGAAAAGCTAAGAAGCTGCTTGTGTGCTTAAAATTCTGCCTGTCTGAAATATCTGTGTAATTCCCATTATTTGTTTAACATTTACTTAAAACTCACATTGCTTTTTAAGGATTGGCCCTTTCTGAGATGCCTTTTTTTTAACTATTGAATAGGGAGGTCAGGGGTGGAAATCATGTCATTCTAGTTTTCTCAGGTTTGCAGAGAAGTCTGTGGTAGGGGAAAGCAAGTGAGCTGAAGCACCATAAGCCCCAGTTTTAGCACCTTAACCACAGGACAAGCTTTCTCTCTAATTAGGCATGTGCATGAGTAACTTAGTGAAGAGAGGCCTTGGATTCTGTCAGTAAACCCTCTGCAGCATTACTTCAGCTAGATAAGGGTAGTGACTTTGTTCTTCTACCTAGTCCATTATTAGACAGTTGTTTGAAAACTCAAAGCCTTTTCCTTAAAAGCTTTAACCTACTAAAGACTGACCACAGCATCAGTATGCATAAACAGAAAATAAAATACAGGTTGTTTTCTCTTCCTACATAAAAGCTATTCTCCACCTGACCAAAAGCCATGGTTTGCTGCTTTCCACGGAGGCTCAGTTTTCTTGCTAGATGTAAACCCTTAAGAGTATGTCATGGCTCCCAACTGTTACCTGAGAAAGATGATGTCTTAACCACTACAGCTCAAAAACTGCTGTCTTTCTGACAAGCTATTCACATTGTATGATCAACAGTGTCTTTGCTTCCACTGAACAAGCATAATCTGGGCAACAACCAAGGTTGCAATGAGAACAAGAACCATCTCCATGTGCATTGATTCACAGCCATGGTGTTTCACATGCATCTTCCGATGTTGCAACCTGAAAAGAAAATATGTGTGCTATTTAAAAAAAAAAAAAACCAAAAACAAAACCCAAAAAACAGTCTAGATTGATTTGTTATACCTAGAGGTGACAGTAAGTCTGTGTATGAGAGATACTTTGAGGAAAGAGGTTAGTGTTGTTATGCATGAAGATACAAGGTAACAAGCTAGATGAGAATACTTGGTCTTTGTAACTGGAACTATTACCCTGAAAAAGGAAATGTAAAGTAATGGGCAGAGAGTTGTCTTTTTTTCTTTTCTTTTTTTTAGTAACTCAGTCTTGAAGATAAATATAGCCACAAATACATAGTGCCTATGAATTTTAGCCCAAGGTAAATGCAAACTCAGCAGAGGACTTAAACCCCTGTTTCAGCTTCCTTCCCTATAAAGTGAGAATTGTAGCTGGTATTTATCTTCCTTCTAGAATTAATGAAAGTTTCCTTGAGCCCCTAAGAAAGGAGTGGATTGTCTTGGAGCTATAAATCAGCCTCCTTCATAACTAAAGCTGAGTGAGCTTCTGTGTTAGATCAGAGCCTCATGCCCCTGTAGTAAAAATCTTGATCTTCATCTGAGCTTGACTCAAATTAACCTGGATTTTAGTTTTCCTCTGACCTGAAGCTTTCTGGGCCTACATTTCAGGACTCAACAGCACCTCCTGGCTTCTAGATCTGTGTATGCACTGACTGCACCCCAGCTGCACCCTGAAACAAAGCTAAAGTGACAGACATGCACCGTCTCCCTTCCCCTTCCATGCTCTGGTCCCTGTGGGGAGAAACACTGTGCAGCAAGACTTTTTGTCACGGTGGCTGATGGGCAGCAGCTATTCTGTTCAGACACCGCCAGTGTTAAACCAGTTGGCATCCAGATTTGAGCAAGGAACTACACAAAAGCCCGAAGCCATTCTTTGCTGCTATTACTTGCTATCCCATGTTAGCCAAACTTTGAATCCCATTAAAACTTTTGACTTTGCAGAAATCTGGATATAGGTTTAAAAACGTGTGGTTCTTTCCCATCCCTTCTTCAGAAGCAAAAGTGCAACAGTAGCCATGCTTTTTTCCATCTAAAAAGAAACGGCTATGTGATGGATGCTGTGCTTAGATGCCACAGCACCGAAGTGGGTGCCAATACCAGCGTCAAACGTCTTTCTTCCCAGCTTTATGCACATACCACAGCGTACCACACCTTCTTTGCTGACAGCGTGCTTGCATTAAGTATCTCGAAGCAGCTCCTCGGTGCGATGCACTCGGTGTCCCTCCGGCCGCAATCAAGGGTGCCCCCTTACGGGCAGCGCACCGGCGCCAGCCGCGCCGGCGGGGCAAGCCTATAGCTGGAGATAGTGTAATTAACGTGCATCCTAAGAAAAGGGAAGGCGGCAAGAGAGGGATAACAAGCTTTTCCTCCCCCCCCCCAAGCAGGCATTAAAATGATGGTTAAAGGACCATTTATTTATATTAGACTTGCAAGGACAGGAAGCGTTATATTTATTGTACCTAAAGGAGAACATTGTACTACAACAGCAATCTCTGTAATGATCGCTGTAAAGCTGTTCCCTATTTTGTTTTGCTGAGGAACTGATTAAACTGACAGAATAAAAAGTTCCAGTAAAACTTTTCAAGAAAATAAAATTCTTTACTAACTACTCTTCTGTGAACAAAATGTTAAAGGTTTCTGGTATCGCTATAAATGTACAATTCATTTAACAAAACATTTGCGAGCAATATGTAAATTAACTTACTTCCATTGTTCCTCTGTTGATAATAAATCATTTTCCTGAAACACATTCAAAACAAGTATTATAACTTCATGGTGAACAACAGCCAGATGGGTTTTCTTCTCTTAACCCTCACCACCCCTTCTGTCCTGTGAGTTGCTGGACGTGTTGGCAAGTTCCCTCTGCCCCTCTCACCTGGAAGCTGCTTAGAAACCTGCAGCTACAATGAGGATGGCGGTCATGCAATTTCAATGGCTGCGATGTACGATGGGAGCAGCTAATGAATTCCCTCGAGGTGACTGACCAACAGGGACGATGGCGTACCCTGGTGACCTACAGTTATAGCATAACTCCAGCCAAAAGGGACCTCGGCAGTTATCTGGACCAACCTCCAGCGCAGAACAGAGTGAAGGACATCAGGTTGCTCAGGGGTTAGTCCAGCTGAGTTGTTAATATCTCCATGGATGGGTATTTCACTGCCCCTCTGGGCCTCCTGTGGCAGTGAATTCTCTTTTCCTTCTTCAGTACATGGGGACAAAATCACTGCAACAAAATTAGCAAGCTGAGGTTTAAACGAAATGTCTCCTAGACTTAATCAAAAAGGTCTAGGTCTGATCTTTCAGCTACTCTAATTAGGCAGCTGTACAGGCACACCATAAAGCCTGTGGTACAGCTCACACAAAAAAGGCTAAAAAGGGGAATTCAAGAGTATTCAATGAAGTCTAAAGGTAGAACTTCTGGTTCCAAACTGGATTCTATCAGAAAAGGTCATTATCAAAGATGGTGTTTAGTTCTTGTTTTTCCTTCAATATCTTCCAATTCTGTAAACAAGTCTTTAAATTTTCTATAAAAATTCTAAAACTCAAGGGGATAAACTTTTCCTATTTTTATGAATGTTACCTGTTTTTCAGTTGAAATGTCCATGTTTGGTGGTGGTTGTTATTAATATAACTTGAAGTGTCAAGGTGCCACTTTGTGTTGATTTTCACCATGTACATCTTAGCCCTATGGGTGATGTGTCCTTGCATTTTGCTCTGACTACTGAGGGATATGCTACAGTTTTACTATCTGCCTGGCACTTTGTACTTGTCTAAGGGAGAAACAGGGAATGCAAGTCACCATTCATTTGGGGAAATAAGTACACTTTTAGAAGAATTTAAGTACCAAAAGACATAGCTGCACCTAGCAGAAACTTCAAACCCACCTAGATGCCCAGCTGCCACTCTCTGCTTCCTCAGCTCCTCTTGCTGTTTCTGTCAGAAAAAGTATGAGGCAAGTGGCTCCTGATCTCTTATCTTTGGAGGTCATGAGGATCAAATTGAGGGAATAAGGCCAAAAAAAAAAAAAAAGTCTTCATTATACTTTTGCAGTATAGTAAAGGCGTTGACACTCTAGTCTTAGAAAATACCGTAAAACGGAGACTTGCTTTTGTAGTTCATTTGTATGCTAATGTACCTTTACAAAAGTACTGGACTACACATCTGCAAACTCTAATCTCATTAGAGCCAAATTAAATTGCAACAATTACACTATATAGCTCAAAGTAGAGATGCATTTCAATTCACACTGCATTATTTATTTGTTTACCAGCTAGCAAGTAACAGAGAACTTGCAGATTCTGAAAATATCTTGCTAACCAAACCTGATTTCTGTTGTTACTATGCAATAAAACTGGAAACACGCTTGCAATAGTTTAGATCCCGCTTCCCTCAACATTATACACGGTAAGATTTTGACTCTGTAGCAAGCTAGGCACCAGTTAAGAGGAAGGCTATTGGACCTTAAAAATAAAATTAGTTTTATTTCAAAGACAGCAGACCATTTGCTAGTATTTCATCATATTCTATTAGCATACTTCTCCCCAACTTCTTAAAGTGAAGAACTTGTACAAAATACTGATCTTTATTTTTTTTTCCCCCAACACATACTGGTAATGACACTTTTGCTTTAAGTATCAGCCTATCTGTGCCAGAATTTGGATGTGGCAGTGGTTAAAAAATGGAAACAAAATTACAGTCCACACAGTCTTTTTAACTTTACTCTGATTACCGCACAGCCAAATGAATCCTTGCATCTCCAGACTTCCCTTTTTAAACTCTGATTGCTCTTCCTCTCCCCTATGGCAGTGGCAGTGGCTCGGGCTGCCCTGTACTATGGAGCTGTGCTGCATGAGGCAAAGACCAGAGCAGCTGGCGAAGGCTTGTCACGACAAAGCGGCTAGGAAGGGCTTTGTCCATAGGGTGAAGGGCTGGACAGGAAGGAGTAAGGGAAGTACCATGAGATGCTGCTATCTGGGTGCTGCAGTTTGTGGCGCAGGGGTTAGGAGAATGAAGAACAAAAGTGGTGTAATACAAGGAAGCACGGTGGAGTATGTTGATGGTGGCCATGGAGAAATACAGAGAGTAGAGGCAAATACTACACGGCAGCATGGTGCTGTGTGTGCAGCAGCGGGCACCAGGCACAGACTAACCCTCATCGTGAAGGTTGGATAAACAATGTAGAGGAAAGCATTGGGGGCTGCTACATGGCATGGGAGCAAGGGTGAGAGTGTTGTGGGTGCTGGCAATGGGGAGAAGACAGCGAAGCCCTGTTTTAATGTGTAAACGGACGAAGGTATCTGAAAGTTTTATTTCAGCCCCAGGAAAAGGACAATTAAAAGCTTTGGACCCAGCTAGGGACTGTAACATCAGTGTGTAATGGATGATCGGTGAATGTATGGCCACAGGAATGACCTTTCCTTGCCAGTATCCCCTCATTAGTGGCAAGCTGTGACCTGGCCAAAAAAGTGTTTGCTATAAATGCTAAATTCCCATCTAAACACAGTGTCCGTCAGCAGCAGACAGGGATAAAGACTAGATGCCATTTGTCCAGTTAGGGCCTCTCTTCCGGCTGCTGGGTGAAGTATTTGCTAATGAGGTGTAAACTAACATTATCCACCTAAAACTGGAAAGAACAGGACAAGAAAACAATACTGGCTTAAAAGGATGGGCAGAATAGCTTTTATATGAGCAGAAGAAATATTTTCTTGTCACAGTCCAGGTAAATCCCTGTTTATTTACACTGGGGCAAAATAAAAATTTCAGAGCAGACAAGCAGATGTCCTGATGTGTGCTTTAACTTCCTCAGCTGGATGACTGAAAGTTTTGGGTTTTTTTAATCTTGAAAAAAGTCATTTCTCCAAATACACCTGCATTGTTCATTATCATTCATCTCATCATTATTGCAGTGTTGTACTAATTTTCCAGCAGGTATTGTGTCTTGTTTTAAACTAGATTGCAAGGTTGTTGGGGGAAGGCCTGTGTATTCTTATGTATGCTTTAGCCACTAAGCACCCAAAAATTGTACCTTGGCTTTTCGATACTACTACAGTGCTAATGAAGAGTAATTATGATTAATGCATAGAGTTGTACAGAGATCCACCCTCCTACCCTGTGCCAGCTGTCGTAAAATCCTGCAAAAGCTGTATGAGGGCAGGGAAACGTTGAAAGTTTCTTGATGGCTCCATTTTCCAAGAGGGAAGGAAAAAGGCATAGAGGTGAATGACAGCCTCGCTCCCCAGGAGCGGGCAGGCGGAGGGGTGCCTGGCCAGGAGAGGCGAGCGATGCCAAGCCAGTGGGCTGGGAAGCACAAATGCCCCAGTATTTTGGAGCAGGGGTGCTGGGTTTAGGTTGAGGTGCGAGTTTGTGTCTGCCCCTTCCTGCGGAGGCCTGGGGAGCGCTCGGCCATCCCCCAGGGTCCCTGCTCCCTCGCAGACTACGGGGCGACAGGGCTGAAAATGCGGCTCCTCATCACAGGGCCAACACCACCCCTTACACACACATCTGTATACACACATACAGACATACACACACACGGCTGCAGCCAGACACCCCTCACCACAGCCCCCCCACACCTCCCGC